GAGTCATTTCTAATCTTTATGTCGCGTTTTTACTTAACTCTACTTTTATATAGAAGATGTGTCAAAAATACTGAACTTTTAATATAAAATAAATGCACAATTTTTCATCTTTGAAGGTTATAATTATTCCAAATGGGCGGCGTTAGACTCAATGCCATGTTGGAACGATCAACAAGGCATGCTCTAGAATTTGTTTATGTCATTTTGGGAATATTTTCTACACTGTCTTATACTTCAGATACATGCCTATATTTAACTCAAACTCGAATTATTTGTCAAAGGAGTCCATGAAATGAGCCTGCTACTAACTGGATTCTTCTCTCGACTCTACTCCAATACTCTCACTAAACTAAATATGAAAGAGATCTTGGAAATTAGCCCACTTTAGATTATATACTACTACGTTCCATTTCTGTTCTACATATATACTACTTACTCTCAAACTATATACGAAAATTTTCATAGAAGGAGTCTACTATCTGCAATATCTACACTGGTTTCTACTCTAGACTTATTCGAAATAATACTTTATTTTGAAAACTATGGTGGTATATATAGGAGTCTTTGTGGAAATGAGTCGACATCGGTATACTCTATACTACTCGTAAACAATATATGATAGAGATTATATGAACTCTTGGGACATTCTATTTACTGGATTATAACGAACAATTTACAATTTATGGTATAGCGCTATTGACAACGGATGACTCAAACATTACTTATTGTGCAAGAAGAGCCTAGGCATAAGCACCTATGCTGTCTTTAAGATCAAAGTTCTATCTAACGGGATAATGACTCTTTGATCGGATCATTAGTTTTCCTACTACATAACCAACTTATATGTTTATTGACTCTTTGTTCTGTAGATTAATTTAAACAAGTTAATTATATTTTGTTTACTGCCTGTAAACAAAACAATTATAGCGTTGTTATATCATTTTAGGCCTGTTTAGTAAGGGGGTGAATGCATTTTTTTTTTATATTTGCGACATTAAAAAAAGTTTTACTGTCAAAGGCACGCAAAAAAAAATATATTTCGCAATTCAATAAATTGTCGCTTAATGTACACATTTTGTAGCAAGAGTAATGTTGCCAGGAGGTATAAATATAGGGGAGTGGGTTCCTGCAGTTCGCGCCCATGTCGTATGAGCAACTTTTTTAATTTAAAGCGAGGAGCATTTATTATTTGGCCAAATGCCTAAATGGCCAACGTTCACATCGAATGGGAAAGAGTAGGGTGTTTAAACAATGCAGAAATGTCACAAACACAATGGCCATGAACATTATATAAACAATCTCATATGATGATGGGCGGTATAGATTGTACCTGCCAGCTCTGCATATTGTTGTGTAACCCAGCTGGTACCCCAACTGATACTTATTCGCTAGTATGTGTGTCTGACGGCATGCAATTTGAAAATGGACTTTCCCGTCGTGAAGTTCTGGCATTTGATTCATAAGTTTTAAATGTTGCCAAAAGTTGTAAACAACAAAAGCAACGGGATAAATACAGAAGTGAGGCAGCCAAATTAATTTTAAGTGAGTATAGTCAAGAAAGGTTTAAGCGATATTCTGGGCAAGTGACTTTGGGATAATGAATATTTGCACAAAAGAATGTGGTTGGAAGAAGCAAACATTTTGCAAAAGGAGAAAGCTTACAGGTTAGAGGAAGTGACAGGGTGATAATGTTACTCAATGATGTCTGTTACTTTAAAGAAGTTACCCGAAAGTATAGAGTCATATTTAAAAATTGAGGAAATAAGGACTGGCTAAATAGCAATCACATAATTTTGCCATATATATATGTGAAGTATTGTAGCTACAATAATTTAGAATATTTTCAGAAAATTATGAATGGATTCCGAAAAAAAAACTTTTTGAGATATTTTTTGTAAGAGTCTTTTAATTTAGTCTATTTTTAGGCTCCCAAAATCTCAAAACATGTTTTCTTCTCTAAAAACCATTTTCAGACGTCGGGGTGAAGAAGATTTCTCTGGACCGATGAAATTCGAATTTTATTAGATTTTAAAGCAAATCTTCC